AAAAAAAAAAAAAAAAAAAAAAAAAAAAAAAAAAAAAAGCATGGCCCCTGCGCAAGGATGACACGCATAACTCGAGAAATGTTTCAGATGTTATTTTTTTTAAATCGACATGGGTTCTCGAGGAAGGACAAAACCTTCAAAATTACCAACGGGCCTAGCTCAGTTGGCACACAAATGAACTGTGGCAATACAGAGGCAAGTTCGAATCCATATGCAGTCGGATTAAAAAAATACCGTACTTCTGAATTACGGAGGACCGGGCAGTTCAATGCTGATATCTCAATGCTGTTACTAAATTAAATAATTATTATAAAAATAAAATAAAATAAAAACAGTAATAAGCTACCAGCCGGGCGGCCCGGGTAACCTTGTTTTCCCGGGCGGCTCGGGCCGTGCAAGGACCTGGGAAGGTCCCAGCGAAAGAAAAAAAAAAACTATGTTATGCAGAAAAATGAAATGAACAACTTTTGCCTCAGGGTCACACCGAAATTCGTTACCAAATTTAAAATTAAAAAAAATATTTAAAAATAGTTTTTTGTTCTTTTTTTTTTGTTTTTTTGGCCTGGCCGGGTAAATGGTCCCGGGCCGCTCTGGTAGCCTAGGCAATATTTATAATTTAATAAATAAAATAATAATAATAGTAATAAATTAAAAAAAACTTCTCTAAAATTGGAACCCCGGGGATTAGCACGACCCCGGCGCATTCAAGGATGTCACGCGCATAATTCGACCAACGGTCCAATTCAATCCTGGTAAGAGAAAAAAGAATTAAAAAAGGCGCCGTGCAGCGAAGGGAGGGGGATGTACAAAACTGGCAATGGAAGCCAGCAGGCGCTCAGGACGACGGCTGCGGCGCAAGCAGGAAGAGATGGGTGACGAAGAGCCGTTTGGTTTTCCCAATCAAGCAGGCACCGTGATGCGCACGCAGTCGATTCAATGTCAGTGTCAGGTACCAATAGACGCATATATATATTGTCACATGATATCAGAGCGCCTAAGCGAAAAAACCAAAAAAACAAAAAAATCTTAAATTCGTTTTTAATCTTCTTCCTTACAACTCCCCCTGTTCAGAACCTCTTGCGTACAAGGCCGCCCACGTGGATGTAGGTTGAGCGGCGGCTGCCCCCACCCCCGTGTGTCATATCGACCCACTTGCACACAGCCAAAAGGCAAAGAGGCAAAGAAGAGAGGAAGGGAACAGCCAAATGAAACAAATAGAACAGAGGGAAACAAGACAGATCCCAGATGACAAGTCCCACATGCAAGCACCGCCCGCTCCGTCAAAGTCACACTGACTCACACATATATAGATAATATATAGATAGTCACATATATACAGATATATACAGTCGCAGATAACTGCCCGGTGCACGTGGGCAGAAAGAGAATTTCAAAGTGTAAAAAAAAAAAAAAAAAAAAAAAAGAAAGAAAGAAAACAAGGTCAAGAAACCAGGGCCTATGAGATGCATGGAGAGCACATGGCTACCGTCTTCCCCTGAACACAACGCAGCCTGACAACGAATGTATACAAGCTATCTTTCTGGTCTGGTGCAGCCAGAGTGAGGGTGCGTTGTGTTCGGGGTAAGACGGTAGTTCTCTGCCAAGGCCATTTATGAGGGGGGGCGGGGGAGGTGGAGGGAAGAAGCCCACGGAAAAAGAGCCCCGAGGCTGTGGCGCGGATTCCACGGGCAACTCGAGCAAGCTGCGCACCAGAATTCACATCACCGAAATTAAATTAACAACGAAAACCAAAACACAAACAGATCAGTGTGTCCCGCAAAAATCTGCCGACTTGTCCGGGAAGAGAATGTGGCGATGCACGCTGGTCGGGTCCCTGGCTGAGTGAGATGCCGACAGAGCCATTGCCTGTCGCCGTAATACACACAAGGAGAGAGAGAATGACAATGGTAGCCATGATTATGGTAGCCACTATGAAAGCCGAAAATTGAAGCAGCGAGCGGAATTCGTGATATTGCGGCGAAATTTTTTGAAGTAACGAATTCAACACCTACCTGATTCGGCTGCTGTGCAGCAGGTCTAAGTCCCTCGAAGTTCCGCAGCGCAACCGCGGAGGACGCAGCGCTAGAGGATACTGCTGCCAAAGTCGCCATGGCGGCGGCAGCTCCTTCGTCTTCCTCCTCCTCCTCCTCCTCCTCTGAGATCTTCTTCGCCTACTTCTGGCGACTTCTCCCTAGAAAAGCTGTACTTGGGACGGAGAGTGATCAACAACGGCGGACCGACGGCAGCTGCAAACACTTCCAGCCAGCCAGCCAAATGTGGCATCCAGCCCGCCAAGTCACACACAGGGTGGATGGCTGACCTCCTGGCCAGCCGAGCTTTCGTTCGATCGTGAGTTTCTTTTTCTTCGTGTTGTGACGAGTCCCTGTGCGACGGACGTCCGTTCGTCGTCAGTGCCTGTGGCCCCAAAAACGTACATGCTTTTCGCGAAGAGACCTACATTACCCGCCAATACCAGCCGATGTCACCTCGGCCGCCCAGCAGCCTCTCCCGGCCCAAGGCGCGCCCTATTTCTCCGTGGCGCGTCGCTATTTCGGCGGGGTGCAAATTTCGTCCCATCCCTTTTCGTGTAGACTCATCGGTTTTCGCATGCGGGCGGAGGACAACCAACGCGCCACGGAGGCACTTCATCCTACGGTACATAATGTGCGCGGAGCGGATAACTTTCTTTCCGGGTTGGCTCGAGGTGCCTTTTTCTTTTTCTTGTCTCGATTTCTACCTACGGCTGCTCCGAAGAGACTCGGGGTCCACACCACTTGAAAATCTTGGATTTGCAAGGGAGCATGGTTCCACCCCCCCTGGTGACGATCAAGAAGAACTGCGAAATGTTTCCACATTCGGTATCTCAAGGGGGTGCCCTTGAAACCGAAGTCCGGCCCTGTCAAAACCAAAGATTTTTTAGGGCCGTCAAAAGGAGAATGGACGAAGCGAGGGGCGGCGCTGTAGCGCTCAAACCTTGTGACGCATGCGCTAATTTCGCTAGGGTTTCTTCGATAGACACAGAGTTTGGACGACATAACCCTTTTTCAATAGACTCGGAGTTTAGACGCCATAGCCCGGGGCGCTTAACACGGGCAAGGCGTGTCGTAAGAGTGAACTTGAGCAACAACGACATGAACTTGTCATTGGCATTGTGGACATGTGGTGGGCCCATCAGGGAGGAGAGTCGGTGATAAGAATACTAGAAAACACCTCGAACATTTTGAACATGTTAAACAGAAGAGCGCAATGTGCAAGCGCCCTTCCCATGGAACATACATGACTTGTGCGGAACAGGCGGAGAGCGGACAGCGGAGAGTGGACAGCACACAATGGTCAGTAGACAACGTAGTAGCGAACTTCACTGATCAGCAGACAGTCGATCAGCCAAGACGGCCAGGAGGGGACACCTTTGGTCGTGTTTTGTTAGAGCCCGGCCAGATCTATCTAATCCTGTTTGCTCCCCATGCTTTCGCACCTCATCGTCAGTAGAGACCCAGAAAGTTGCCTTTGCTTTTGGTGTTCCTTCTAATATCTATGAATTTTATCTCTACACTAGAAATTCCACTTTCCTCTATCTTACTCCAATGAACCGGTTTTGAAGGCATTCCATCAGTTGAGCTGGCGACTTCTCTGTATTTACGTTGATTACTGACGTACTTACCAGCACATGTAGAGAACCTAAGTCCAATATGGATGTAACACACCTAAAGCGCACTGCAGACTCAATCTTAAATGAAAATGAAAAAAATGAGAGCATACGGTGGAACCGGTGAACCATCCGAATCTCTTTTCGAATGGGGCAGAAGGCTCGTAGTACCTTTATTTACAGCAGCAACCTAGGAATAGGCGCACAGCGCAGCGCTGGTCTGGTTGTGTACACAGTCAGCAGACGGGAAGGAGCCTAAATCGATGGACTCGAAAGAGCACATTGCATACTTGAGCAGTACGAATCCGTCGGCGGTTGGGTGAGACTAACTAAGCAGTCGTTGGCTGCTTCGACATCTACCGACTTCGTACCCTTTGGAAATCAATTAAATTATGCCTGAGAGAAAGGTCTGGCCAGAGCGAGCAGATTACAGCGATCTATACAGCGATCTATCTATCGCTGTAGTCCTCCAGAGGCCTGTTTATTAGGAAGCTTTATGGCAAAAATCATTCAAAGGGGGGAAGAGAGAGAGAGAGAGAGAGAGAGAGAGAGAGAGAGAGAGAGAGAGAGAGAGAGAAAGAAAGAGAGAGAGAGAGAGAGAGAGAGAGAGAGAGAGAGAGAGAGAGAGAGCATGTGGAAAAAGATTCAATCGCTTAGATTATACCTTTTTGTTTTCGATATCATTTTCGTAAAGTTCTTGAATACTGGATCAAAATTTTAAGAGAGAGAGAGCATTTGGAACATGATTGAATCGCTTCGATTATACCTTTTTGTTTTGGTTATAATTTTCATAAGGTTTTTGAATACTGGATCAAAATTTTGAGAGAGAGACAAAGAGAGAGCGGGGGGGGTGCACGTGGAACAAGATATAATCGCTTAAACTATATCTTTTGCTTTCGTTTTTGTATTCACTTTCACTATCGTAGGGTTGTTGAATATTGAATAGCATAGAAATGTATGATAAGGACGAAGGTGGAAAAATGTTAAATAAACAGGCCACAGGTTGGCTGAGTCAGAAGAAGAAGAAGAGAGAGAGAGAGAGAGAGAGAGAGAGAGAGAGAGAGAGAGAGAGAGAGAGAGAGAGACAGAGAAAGAGAGAGCACGTAGAAAATGATAGAATCGCTTAGTTTAAACCTCTTTGTTTTCTTTATCATTTTTGTAGGGGTCCTGAATACTGTATTAAAATCTTTCGAAAGAGGGAGAGAGAGAGAGAGCACGTAAAAAAGGATAGAATCGCTTAGAGTAGACCTTTTTATTTTTATTATCATTTTCGTAGGGTTCCTGAATACTGGATTAATATATATATATATACACGGTTGTCAGGCCGAACGTACGGAGGTCCTAAGCTGACCCTCGAACGTTCGGGCGTTCGGGTCCTGTACGGGGCCCGAACCTGAAGGGGTTTGGACCCCGCAAAAAACTATTTTAATTCCTAAATATATATATTTTTTCTGAATTTTTTTTTTTGAGTTCTCTATTATGTAAGGTATATCCCTCTTAATTTTGAAGCTATTCTGTTCAGCCAAAAAAAAATAAAAAATCGGCAAAAATGGTGGTGTCAAAACTTGCTTGCCCACTCACTATTTTTTTTATTATTTTTTTTCCTCTTTTCACTTTTTGTTTTTCCTTTATTTCGGGGCATGAAAAAAATTATTATTTTTTCAAACTTTATTTGTAGATTCTCTATTATGTAAAATACACATACAAAAAATTTTATGGCATTTGTCACAACCAAAACAAAATGAAAAATCGCCAAAGATGGGGGTATAAAAAACGTGCTCGCCCACTCAATAATTTCATTCTCATTTTATTTTTTCTAATTTTTACTATTATTACTTATTTTTAGTGTTTGGTTTTTATTTCAAATTCGGTAAAGAATTTGAATGTAACGTTGAGGCAAATGTTGTTTAGTTTATTCTTATGAATAACATATAGTTTTTTCAAAGTTTTTGGATTTTTATTATTATTATTTTTTATTTTTATTTTTTTTCGCGTTCGGCCGAACGGCTGAACGCGTTGAGAGGGGGTGCGGAACGTTGTCAGCGGGAATACCCTTACAAGGGTATCCGCCCTGGTTTTTGCAAGTGACAGAAAACAAGTTTGACCTGGAATTGTTGAGGAGGCCGCGCGACTTGCGGCAGTGTGGTGACTATAGGTTGGCTATGAGGTCTAGAAGTAGAGAGTGCGTGGGCGCGCAAGGTTTAAGCCGCGCGGGATTTCTTTCTTTGTCGTTGATTATAAAGGCGGCGCGGACGCCGGTCGGCTTAACTTTGTTTTATATATTTTTATTTATTCTTGATTAGACTAGGATTTAAGGATGTTTCTCTTTTGATTGGTACGTTCGACCGAGGCGAGCGCGCATGCGAGGACAACGGCATCGACAATGACGGGGCGACCTTGCACGGTAAATGGGGCGGCTACGGCACGGTTTGGGTAGGCCGGCGTGGATACTCAGCGGCCGTGGGTTTGGTTGCAGGTAGAGATGATGCCCAGGCCTTTTTTTGGCCTAGGCACTGCGCCGCATCACCTTATATTGGGTTTTGCGTAGGCTAACTCTAGGCTTGGGCTTAGCCTTATAGGTTATGGCATTGGGTTGACGATACGGAGGTTTCAATCGATGGGGATCGAGGCCAGCGGGTGTCAGTGCTGCAACTGCAGTGGAGCGTTGTGAAAGGAATCGATGGGGTTGAGGGCCGCCAAGGTTATCCCCCTCAATTTTGTTTACGGGCGCGGCGGCGGGCCCAATCCGCGGGGTTGGAAGGGTGCCAGCAGCCCCGCGGTTCCCCGACGTTTATTACTTTTTTATTTTTTTTATTTTTTGTTGTTCTTGTTCTCTTTGTTATCGCGTCCCGTTTGGGACGCGAGACCGCGATAGGAGCGTGTGGGGGTGTGTTGTATTTGCCGGGCATGCCTGCCGAGCTCAGAGGAGAAGGGCAGACAGTGCCCGAGCGCGATAGCGAAACGCAAAGGAGGGGCCAGGCAAAAGTCCTATTTTTTGGACATCCCAACACCCACGAAGGTTGCGCCCGGCCGCTGCACCTGGGCCCAGGCATATGGCAGCCCCACGCCTTTGGCCCCACGGCCTGCGGTAAGGGACGTGAGTGGGACTTGGCCGTTGAAGGGCCGAAGGGGTGGCAGGGCCTGCTTGGAGGGGGGGGACTCGGAGGAGAATAGGCGGGCGATGGCCTGTGCAGAGTAAGGCCGAGGGGGAGTTCGTCGGCGGTAGGATCGCAGCCACCACCGCGCGCAGCTAGCTGTACAGGGCGGCTGGTAGTGTACCGAGCGGCCGCGGGCGGAGCAGATAGGCAGCGGAGAGAGCTGAGACGGGAGGGAAACAGATAGACAGGAAGAGAAGGGCACTGGGTGAGTAACTGGCACGCTGCGCTAAGCAGCAGCGGGCGGGACGAGCAGAGGGAGAACGGGGATGAATCGAGACGGAGGGACATGCCAGGTACGTACGGAAAAGGGGTCGGGCTATGGTAGAATCAGGGGAGACAGCCAGCGCAGCACAGACGGGCGAAGCATGAGAGGGGGTGCAGATGTAGTGGGGGGACATGAGTGAACCTGGACGCCGGACTGCGCCAGGTACAGTTGGACTAAGGATGGCGGAAGCGAGTCCGGCGCAGCCGGTATGGCTTAGCTCCCTCGATCCTTGAGGGAGTCAAGGGGGGTGAGAGGCAACCGCGGGGGTTTGGCCACGGGCGAACCCGACTGTGAAGACAAATTAAGGAGAAAGTTAGTACAAACGGAGATTAGTAGAGAAGGTTGTTGCGTGAAGGTTTGGCGATGGTGGATATGGA